CAAAAATCTCTCAGGGAACAAAAAAGTTTACATCTTTCTTGTACTCTGATTCTTTGTCCAGAAATAGCAATGATTCTTAAAATTCGACATATTTGAATAATACATTTATTTCATAAATAATTTATTTTATTTATTAGATTTGCGCTCATTACATTGGTAAGCTAATTATAAGCCAAAGTAGAACCGTAGAATGCTTAGGAAACATTAAGAAATTTCCATATAAATCACCGTAGAGAGTTTTGCATGTAGGTAATCTTTGATACACATATTATCAAAGGCATGTTAAAGTCAGGCATATTAAACTCAGAATTACCATGCACCTCATGAAATTTACACAACTAATATTTGAGTGGCTATAATTAAAACTGGTGATTTTGAAAATGACTATCATAAGAAGTGTAACTTGTCCTAAGGCTAATTTGTTTTTGCAAATTTAGAAAACCTTTCTATTTTTTTCAAGCTCTCTAAATCCTACTCATTAAAAAATGTTGATCTGCTGCTAAAAATAAGCAAATTGCCTGTCAAACTTCCCAATATTAATTTAGTAGAATGGGATTATGGGAGTATGACAATAATATCAAAATATATCTTGTGATTATGTATCAGTGATAGGAAACAGTAGTGTTGTTAGAGTGTCGACTTCTCTCACAGATTTCCATTGAGGCATATTACTTTATTACATAGTATGTGATAGGTGAGGCATATTACTTTATTACATAGTGTGTATTAGACATCCAGAAATCCATGTTGTATTTTCTGAATTATATTTAGGGATATGGTCTTTTACTGAAGAGTGGAGGCGGAGTTAGACATATTCCCTTTTGAAGTGAAGCTTGTGTGTGCTGTCAGCACCAAGACAGCCAATATAAAATACGTTAGCTTTAGCACCGCTTTTGTGTCAGAACCTCAGCAACTTGGCATTCTTTGCTCCACAGCCAAAGACTGACACCAGGAGGGTGCACTGTGCGTCCCTAGTTCACATCACAGCTGAGCTTGATTAGTCACAAGTGAGAAAATATGAAAAGGAAGCTCATCTCCCGCTTGACATTTACTCACTCGGTTCCCTTCGCTGGGTCTCAGCTTCTGTTCTGTGGTTTTGAGAGACAGATGATGAGTTCTCGCCTGGCTGCATTTATTCACATACGCTTGTGTTTATTGTTTCAGAGTATTTGTTCATCTTTGGCACGAAGTGCCATTGCTAAGGTGAAAAGTTAAAGGACAGCTGACATTTTTTTAAAAAATGCTTATGGAAACGAAGCTAAATTGTGGAATTACCCATTAATTCTAAATCCTGTCCCCTCTCCCCAAATATCGTCAAATGTATATTTTATCTCATTTATTCTAAAGCAAATACTTGGTGTCAACATATCATCACATCTTAGAAAATGAACATGTTTCTATTATTACCCTAAAAATTTAGACAAACTATTCAATTGATAAGGGACTACAGTAATCCCCCCTTATCCACAGGGGATACATTCCAACACTCCCAGTAGATGCCTGAAATCATGGATAGTGCTTGAAATCATGGATAGTACAGAACCCTATAGATGCTAGTTTTCTCCTATACCTGTGATAAAGTTTAATTCATAAAATAGGCACAGTAAGAGATTAGCAGCAATAACTAATAACTAATAATAAAATGGAACCATTATAACAATAGACCAGCATCACTATCCTTGCACTTTGGGGCCATTATTCAGTAAAATGAAGGTGACTTGA